AAGGAATCCCGACGGGAAGGGGGTGTGCCTTGAACAATGTTCCTTTCAAAACAGTAATTGAACGACGATTCTGGTTTGTCTTCAGAGGGCCTGGGGCGGGGGTGGGGGGCTCTGGAGATGGGTGCAGGTGTCTCTGGTTGGCACAGTGTTTGAGGGGCACTACTTACTGGTGGGCAGGGGCCAGGGTGTGTGAGCCCTCTGCACCAAGGGCCGCCTCCTCCACAAAGCCAGCAGCACCCCAGCCCAGCAACACTGAGGAGCATCACCCTTTCGTCCCACTCTTCTTGAGCTACTTTGAGTCGCCATTTGTTTGGATTAAGGTATTTTCCCGTAAGAAAATAATCCTTTTATGATGGACACCACAAACAAAAGCCAGTACTGTTCCCAGCCCATTTTGAAGCCTATCATTTTTGTGTCGTTAGCACATCTACATCTGATCTAAATTGTTGAAATGCTTCTCTATTAGAGCTCAGTTGTAGAGTAAGAAGTAGACATGGCCATCTCCTTAATTATGGTGAATTAGGCCATTTCCAAGTCCGTCAAATCACCTGCCATCATGGAAGCACGATTGCCCTTTCAGTGGTAACCACGTAAGACAGTCGCTAAGGATAAGCCGTGCTGCTTAGGCCCAATAAATACCTCGGACGGACTTACTGGAACCAAGCCTGGCTGCCCCCAGCAAGCGGTCGTTCACACCAAAGATGGCCTGGTCCCAGACGGTTAACTCCAGGCTGGACTGCCTCAGCTGAGAAGGGCTTACGCCACTGAACGTGAAGGAGTGCTTCCACTGGGGGCAAGCTTGCTTCTTGATGACTGGGGACTTGAGCTTCAGCTTGTGTTGGTCTGGCAGAGTCAGGCAGCTGCAGGAGAGAGAGAGAGAGAGACCCTGACTCTGCAGTTCCTGTCCTGCCCGGCTTCCGCCCCTGGTGCCCTCCGGAAGGGCCAAATCCACCACAAAAGAAAAATTCCAAGCCGGGAACCAGGATGGGAATCGCAAGATTGGCCATGTGACCTCTTGCTAGGATGTTCCGGATTTAGGGCTAAAGTCTGCTCCAGACGCTAAGGGTAATTGGGATTCCAGGCCACTCGGCCCCTCATCGTAATCCCCCCTCCTCGGTAATGCCTACCACCAGGCAAAGCAGGGCTTTAGACCTGCTACCCAGGGACGGGGACTCCGCACACACATTCTCTCCCCTTAACCCTGTTCTCAGGAAGTAAATGCAGAAGGGCCACATAAGTAGCCCAAGGCCATATGTTATGTGGCAGCCTGAGGATAGGAACTCAGCGCTGTCTTGACACGGTAAGCCCCCATTTTTCCATTATGTCACTGGGGACGAAGCAATTCTGTATAGTAATTAATGGTGGTGCTTTACTTTTAGAGACACCGGCACACCTGTAGTGGATAAGGATGAAATAAACACACTCCACCCTGTTAATCCAGGAGGAGAAGCTAAGCTGGGGAATGCGTGCCGAACGCACTGCTTTTTTCCAAGCTCCGTTTCAGCCAGGAAAGGCTGACTTTCTGATGCAATTATATGAACCAGTAAGATCTGGGTTTGGGGTTAAAACGCAGTGTTCCAGATCTAGCCTCCACACGGCCAAATCCCCTGAGTTCTGGAAATCGGAGTCTTTAACACAGTGTCGGATTTTCCCAGGAAAGCTAAAATACAAATTGAAAATGGCTTGCCCTTTCTGGTGTTTCCTATGTAGCTTCCAGGAATCCGTAAATGATGGTTGATTAAATAGAATACTTACCCCTTAACAAAGGAGTTTAGGGTACCATCTGACCGCACAGGTAAATTCTTGGCTCCCAGCACGACCAGACAAAGCTGACCGTTAGGGGATGGCCCATCTCCCGTCCCTGGAAGGAAAGCAGCATTTGCTGTGAGCCCCACTTCTGCACGTGGCACGTAGCACCCCAAAACCGACAGCAAGAGGACGTTAGAGCCCTGAGGCCCCAAGGGAGCAGACGGGAAGAGGAGGACATCCACTGGGGGAAGGCTCTGCTGGCCTTGTTCACATGCTGTCCCACTGCAAGGCCAGCGTGGCGACAGGGTGGAGGGATCGCCCAAATCCAAGAATGGAAGCTGCAAAGATAGTAAAGAGGGACCCAAGGAGAGGAAGGCTGTAGGGGTTTCGGTCTAGCTGCAGGGGGTGGTTTGGGGGGATGTGGGGGCCCCAAGACCTCTCTTCTAGGGGGTTGGCCTGCTGGTGGCCCTGTGAGCTCTGGCCACAGACCTTCCTCTTCCAGGCAAGTAAGAGGTCACTAAACGCATCATGGGATCACGCGTTCCCTCGTCCCCCTCCACCCTCCTCTCGTCCATAAGCCCCACTTTATTTCACTTAAATCTCCTGTAAGCACCTCAAGCGCCTGCCCTTGATCCCTTATCTTGCTGGGCAATAACTCCCTGCTTGGGAGCCGGTGCGCATTCACGCAGAGCCTTGTAGGCCCCAGCGCCTTGAGATGTGCTCTTGGTTCTCCTAAGGAGCCATACTTCCAACCTACGTGCAGGCGGTCAGGGGAACATTCCCTGTTCCAGACAGGTGGCAGTGGGGTGGTTTGCACCAGGGGACTGTCCAGACCACCAGCCCCCTGGGAGGAAAGCCCCAGGGCTGGTGTCCTCAGAACCTCGCAAAGTGGACATCAAAGGCGTGGTGGCCTCTTTGGCCCCTCACTTCCGTTCCAAGTCATAGGTTCCAAGAACCCACTCCCCAGGCTGAGCTTCCCAGATCCTGGAAAGTCACTGGAGCATTGCAGGCTCAGCGGGTGGCAGAAAAGGAAATCGTCACCCCACCTGTTGCTCTGGAGACAGTGACACGGTGACAGATGAACATTCGTGGGGCTGGAGGCCACCTACCTTCTTGGGCCTCTTTGAGCTTTCTGGGCCCCGCAGGGAAGACCAGTTTGGCCCGGACTGCAAGTTCTCCATTATTTGGAAGAATGCTGTCTTCATGTTTCTCTGTCTGGGGCGAGAGACAGAAGCACAGGCAGGATTCCTCAGCCCCCAGAACTTTCTGGGCTCCTCTAATTATCCCCCTTCCCCACTAGCCTCACCCCTGCAAAGCCTCTGCAGGTTGGGGAGTGCCCTGGGGTGGAGTGGACATGCCCATGGTGGGACTGGTCCTTCCTGCCTTTGTGGGACTCTCCATTCCCACTCCACTGCCCTGAGCACACTCCCCTGCATACCCGGTGGCTTCTCTGGTCTGGAGTGATTTTGCCAGACTACAAGCCAATCCTATCTTTAACCCTGAGGGGCAGAGGAAGGGTCTAGATTCATCCCGCTGCAAGAGGAACAGTTGCCCAGGACAAGGACTCCTAGAAGAGGGTGGGGCCAGCCCCTGTCTACACTGGCCTCTAGGTCTCCTGGCTGCCTCACACGCAGGCAGCTGGCCCTCGGGTGCCTCCACCCTCACTTTCCGGAAACCTGCACTAACGGGGCAGGCCTGTGAGCAGGACCCTCCCAATCCAGCAGGGTGAGCCGGGGTGGGGGGAGGGGTGGCACTATTAGCTGGTATTAGGAGGGACGTCTTTTAGCCTGGCACCTTCTCTTCCCACCAGCCTTGGTGGCGGCTAGTCTTGTCCCTAAGCAAGGGGTCCTAGAGGGAAAAGACAGGCACGGCACCCAAGTACAGGATCCTGGGGGAAAGCACGTCTGGCAGGGAGAACCAAGGAAGCCTTCATGGAGGAGGTGGGATTTCAGCTAAGTCTTAGGCAGACCTTGGACAGGAGAAAGCATTCCAAGCAGACCTCCCAAGTGGATGTCTGCAGACAAACTAGGCTCTGAGAAGGGTGAGCGTAAGGTGCCAGGATGTAGATATCGAGCTGCGCAGAGCAGCACAGAGAGCAGGTGGCTGGAGACCCTTGCGGTCTGACCTGACAAGCCGGGAATCAGAGAGATGGCGAATCAGCCTCCCTGGCTTCTGAGAGGAAACAGCACACAGGACCTGCCCCGGCCTGGTAGAAACTGAGCCTCACTGCCAGACTTTGGGGCAATTGGCACACCTGTAGTCATTTCTTAGATGACAGGGCCCCACGCTCCTCCTCCCCTATGACCTCATCCGTACCCTCTCCCAACCTTGGATCTTGGCACAGAAAGTAAAAAGCAGCTGCCCGGAAAGGTGAACCTTTCTCCCCTGGCTCTCCTCTTACCTGCGTGGCCTGTGAGCAGACCCCTAAATCTATCAGCTCCTCCTCTCCTGGCCTCCCCAGCGCCCCACCCTGAAATCCCTGCTGGTCAGGGCAGCCCTGGCCCTGCCGAGAGCATCTGGCCCAGCTTTTTTCAGCTATTACTGTTCTGGGAGTGCCTGGGTCGGGCATCTAGAAACAATACCTCACAGCCTGCATGACAGGGGGCGGTCTGACTGGTGCAGGCAGTGGACTCTGGCTACGGCAGCAGGGAGCCAAGGGCTCCCCTGCTGAAACCAAGTGATCCCGAATTCAGGGGCAGCATGTGGCCCGCAGGGGAGGCCTCAACCCCGAGACCTGACCCAGGCTGCTGTTTGGGCTACGCTGAGGAAGGGGCTCTTGGGTACTCGGCACAAACCTGAGCAGGTAAAGATCCCTCAGCCCAACCCCACCCCGGAGATCGCAATATGAAGCCCCTCCTCCGTGGGACGTTCCTATCTAAGAGTCACAGCCAAGGTTTCCTGGTAGGTTTTCTCTTCTCCAATCCCTTTGAATGGGTTTCGTTTTCACAGTGGGAGTGGGGTAGCTCAGTCCCAAACCACACATCACCTTGGCCCTCAGCGGATACCAGCAGAAACACTGTGTCGAGCTGTCTTCAAAGTCCCATGTGGCCAGAGGAATGGTCACCTCTCCAAGAAACACCCTCCGGGTGAGCGTGCCCAGGTGCCACACGGAGACCTGCAGCCGCCGGGTCACCAGCTGGGCGAGCTCCACCCGGTACTGTGGAGGCAGAACAGAGGCAGTCAGTCTGGGCCCCCAGCCCACACTGCCCCCCCTCCCCTGGGCCACACGGGCCTTCCTCCCACAGGCTGGAGCCGGGGTCCTGATGGGGTCAGGATGTGCTGAGCAGCTTGGAGCGGGGGTGAGGGGTGTCTCTGCTTCCTCCCCAACTAAGTGGCCTGTGCTCAGCCCCGGGGAGGGGCGGGGGGCTGGGGGGAAGACTGGGTTGCTAAGTCCTCTCTCGCTGTCAGGTTCTCTCCCCAAGGCAAGGATGAAAGTCCCCATCCAGCTCAAGTCGAGATCTGTCCCAGCTTAGGATCTGAACTTGCCTGGCCAGTATTGTCCAAAAATACTGAAAACAAGGTTTTCGGGTTTTGCTGTTGTTGGTTTTTTTAATGTAAAGCATGAGTTTTTAGCATGGGCATTTGCCTAGACGGGCCCATGCCAGCACTCAGGGTCACAGTATTTCTTGACCATCCTCCCCTTGCCCCCGCCTCCCCCCCCCCCCAGAAGCCTCAGCCCAGACGGAGGCCAAGAAAGCTTTGCACCTCCCCTCCAGTGAGGGTGGGCTTCTGCCCCCATGGGGACTAGAGGCCAAAGGCCCTGTGTGAGGGTGCCCTGTGCCCCTTCCCGAAGGCCAGGGACACGGCCAGGCTTCCCAAGAGCCGCTGACTCCACTCAGCCTCTGACAGCCTGTTCCAAGCTTCTTTGTGGGATTTTCTCAATAACAACAAAAGTCGAACTTTACTGAACCCTTGTGTGGCACCAGACTTTTAGCTACATTGCTCCTTACCCCTCAGGAGCACCCGAGGTGAGTATTGCCATTCACCAATTTACAGGGGCAACAGCCAGTCTTAGGGCTTCCTCATTGGGGGCCCAGCAGGCCAGACCTCGGATCTGCCCTGCAGACCTCGGGAGCCTGCTCCCTGCCCTGTGCTGCCCCCACGACAACGTGTTGAGGGTGTGCTCCTGTCACACTGCGGGGCGGGACCCTCACACCCACTTACAGCAGCCGCGCACGTTTCCCTGAGTCGCGTCTCCTGACCACCGTTAGTGCCCTTCCAGGTAGATGATGGACGAGAGGGAGGGGAAGTGGGCCCAGGCCGGTGAACAGCCCCCGCTCAGGCCGGGCTGCCTTCTGCCCTCGCCCCGCCTTTTCTTCCCTCTGGGATTATCAGCGCCCATTGTGGTCGGAAGCCACATCCCTCTACTGCCTTGGGCTGATTCTCGGTCTGTCTTCCCTCAAGTCCATGGTCCGTTTCTGACTCTGCCCTGCACTCCTTCCCCAGTCTGTCCTTAAACTCTAAGTTAACCTGGTTATTCCCTTCATGGCCACACTGTGAGGGCTGACCGCTCACGGCGCCGCACCCGCTCCCTCTGAGAAAGAACCGTCCCAGGGAGGGCAGGTGACTGTCCCCCATGTGATCTCCATCCACCCTGTGTGCGGAAAGCCCTGTCCTCCACTCCCTCGGGAACGCAGACCTGCTTCTCAGGTGCTCACACACGAGCGCCCCTCCTCCCCAGCGACCAACGGGACTGCTCCCTTTGGTCCACTAAGTCGCTTTTGCAAACAAGACCTGTTCCCATCGCCATGGTACATCCGCGAGGCGGTCCTGGCAGACCGTGGGGTTGCTACAGCCTCCCCTGGGCGCCCAGCCCCACGAACGCAGACCGCCGCTGTCCGGGGGCACCCAACACCTCCCAGATCAGGGGTCGCATTCCATCCTTCCCCGGCCCCCTACACTGGTCTTCAGGTGGGGTGCCAGCAGCCCTGGGGTGCAGGACGGCTTCCCTTCTGCTTAGAAAACCTTGAGGATCAGCTTCTAGATCCTCAGTTTGCACAGGAATGTTCTTGAAACTGGCGGAGGACAGTTCTCACACCCCAGGCTCTCTCGGTGTCTTGCCCACGGTTGGATGAACCTCCCGCGGGCTAAACACAGAGATCATCCGAAACACTGATTTCTGAAAACTCTCAATGACTGCTCCGCTTCTCTTCCCCCCCATCTTTGCTGCCTCACATGCCTTTCTGTGAAAAGTAAGGCTTGGCCCGTGTCAGGATGCTCTGATTTGAGAACAGATGAGGGACACGGATTCTCTTCAATGTATCCGGAAAGTTTTCCAGGACAACCGAAACATTTACCATCTACCGGGTAGAACCAACGGATACAAATTTTAGGTGTTTTGAGATTCTGCATGCATTTTATTTATTTTAATGTTTATTTCTGAGACAGAGAGAGACAGAGCATGAGTGGGGGAGGGGCAGAGAGAGAGGGAGACACAGAATCTGAAGCAGGCTCCAGGCTGTCAGCACAGAGCCTGATGCGGGACTTGAACTCATAGACCGCAAGATCATGACCTGAGCCGAAGTCGGACGCTCAACCGACTGAGCCACCCAGGCACGCCCCCTGCGTGGCATTTTGAATAAGGTGGCTAAAACTTTAAAAATCAAACTATATATTTATCTAAAACATAGTCAATCCTCCTCTTTGTCTCATTTCATAAAATGTGAAATATTTATCTGTTTAGTACAAAACACCTTAAACTTATAACATGTGGTTTTAGATAAGAACTTACAATGTGTGAGGTGGTACACAGCTGTTCAAAACTCTTTCAGCAGATATGTGAGCAAAACCACCTGAAGACCAGTCTCTAGCGACTTGGTACCAGAGGGGTCCTAGACCGGTGATCCGTTAAGCCCTACCCACACCTGCTGAACCACAGGCTACTTTAAAAAGCATCCTTTGGCGGGGTGCCTGGGTGGCTCAGTCAGTTAAGCTTCCGATTTTGGCTCAGGTCTTGATCTCACAGTTCGTGGGTTTGAGCCCCATGTCGGGCTCTGTCGGATTCTGTGTCTCCCTCTCTCTCTCTGCCCCTCCCCCGCTCACATTCTGTCTCTCTCTCAAAAATAAATAAAAACATTAAAAAAATTTTTTTTAACCATCCTTTCGGGAGTCCTATGAACATAAATCTTGTGGAGGTCTGCTAGTCCCATGTGAGTTAGAGTTGTCCTTCTGAGTACTCTCTATGCCTCGGTTTCCCCACTGGGAAACGAGGATTGCAATACCTAGCTCAGGGGGTATAGAAAATACTTGGCCACAGCAGGGACACAGAAAACAGTGGCTTTTATTACTTAACAAATGGGACTCATGTCAGCTGGCCAGATGGTTCCTGGCCGGGCATTCACAAGTGTCCCTACTTGCCAAGGAAGGCAAGTCAGGCCCTCTCCTGGTTCAGGCTTAACAATGGGGTCCCTGGGATGCCCAGCGCTGACTGGGTATGGCCCAGCGCATCTGGACTGTTCTTCTAGCACGGAGCCTCCCACATCTAGCTCTCAGCCGATGCCGGACATCATCTCCACCCATCGACCCCAAATCCCCAGAGTCACTTTCTAGCTCTGCCCCACATCACAAATCGTGATTTCTCAGCACCAAAGTGAAAATCCAAACAATTCCTCTGTACGATGTTTTTCATAAGATGACTATTTTTTTTTTCCATAAAAGAAGCTGCCTGGGGTTGCCAAGTGATTACGATAAAGGAGCACTTTGATGAAGATGGTAACTCAGCAGAGGAATACACAGGGTACCCGGCCGAGAAGTCCCTCTCTGAGAGTCATAAAAATTCAATAGGACAAACCAGTTTTAGAGCTTGGGAGGCAGCCAGGTTCTTTTCCACCATTTTCTCAGAAATCATTAATCAAATGCCTTCTCAAGTCCAGCAGACTCTGCACTTTTCCTGTACAAAGGCTGCCATTTAGTTTCTACCGACCTGTCACTGATTGACAGAGGCCTGCAGAAACGTACAAGTGTCTGTTACTTCTGTTTAACTGACTCAAGAGTTTCGAAGAACACTCTGCTGAACTCTGGCCCCGTGTGCCCAGCCTGGGACGGGGGACTTAGCATGTGAAGATTTGTCCAGCAAGTACCTTCAAGGTCTCTTGGAAGGTTGGGTCCACGGTGTTCCTTTGGACTCCAGTCTTGCGTTTTCCCTGGGAGGATCTGTCAGGCAGCAGGTAGGTCTTCACGTACCTGGTGGCCAAACGCAGACGGGACAGGGTGAAAGCTCAACCAGGGGGTGGGGGTGGGGGACAAAGGGATCAGGAGGAGGAGAATCACACATCAGCATTTTCTGTACCCTGCTTCTCGCTGGATTTGAGGCTGACAGGGCTTGGTGGCCTCCCCTGACAGGGAACAATGATAGTGCTGGGTATACGGCTTCTGGTTCACACAGTCT